TAGAAAGCAATACCGCAGCGTCTCTTCCTCCCGTTCCGCTCCTTTCCTTGCCAGCCATGTCCTCACCCGTTTGCACGGCGAGCTATGTTCGCAAAAACCAAATAGCAACTATCCCCGTCTACATGCCTAAATCACCCTCCAAAGTGCCGAATAACGACGGATTGGAAAGATATTCGGATGTAGCCTCCCAGGTATTCTCAGGCTCCGACACCGCCAACGAAAGGACCCTCTATGATAAGGTGTTGGAAAGGAGTGGCAGGTCTTTACTGACTGATGAGGTCTGCGCCTCCATCGAAATGTGCCGCGTACTCAATACCATCCGAATGGACTCGTCCGACTGTGAAACCTTAGTCGAGGATGAAGTTACATTTAAAGAGTTCTTGGTAAGTGGCATGCTCATTCACATTGTCCTAAATCGCTCAATGGAAGTTTAGGAAATGTATTATACAGCACTCGGCTTTTCTGGCAAGAATAATTTCAGATTCGATTTTGCGGAGAACTGCGTCCCTTGTATGTTTCTTTTTCTCTTGAATCCCGATGAACTAATAACCAAACTAGTGGAGAGCAACTACCACATGTTATGGGGCACCTATGGGCTTTTCTGCTTTACACCGTCTTTAGAGTTGTTGAAACATTGGTCTAGGTTGCTCAAGGATGAGAACGAGATGTGGCAACCTAGCGAGGCACGATCTGACTCCGTTGTGAGTAAACAAAACGTGCAGAATATGAAGCTGTCACTGACCTTTAGCAATCAAGTTCAATATAATGATCCAAGAATTGCGCGAAGAGGGGCTACAGGTCCTCATCATCGATCCACGAAACTTCCTTCCTAATGATCGACACATACTCATATCGAACAGTGAGCGGAACGTGGCGTACAAAAATTCAACTCTTCCGTTTCTACAGAGAGCAAACTCCCGTTTACCGCCGACATATCAACCGTCAGTAAAATACCCTTACAAGGTCGTGAACGGCATAAAACTCTATGTTTCACCGTTTGCGATCATTGTTAACGCGTACTCAAAGATCGTCGACCGCAACTTCAAAAAGATCGTACCTCGTCATACGTTCGGTCTTGCATATCTCCAAGCACTGGACAGGTATCGTGAGGGACTGCGTACCCTGGTGCAGGAGATCTTTTACCTCCCTGCTGGCCACCCCTTTCGCAGTACCCCTGGATTTCCCCAGTCGGATGAAACTATCCAAGACGGGTATGCCACTGATGCAACGATGAAGGGTTCCCATAGCCATGGCTGCGATTCAGAGGATCCTGAGTGCCTCGAGCAGGATCATAACGAATCCTGTCATGTGACATCCCAGGATCGCGAAAGTTCGGACGATGAGGATAGCAATGAGCTCAGTGCTTCAAGTCCGTTCTTTGGATTGACCCCACAGGATATACAAACTGCGGCACGGAAATCAGTTGATCCCCGCGTAGATGCCGATGAGCGTATTATGGCTGCATTAATGTTGGGGGGCATGTTACGCAGTGGGTTGAAAGTTTCTGACTAAATACATGAGAATGCTGATTGGTTTCTCTAGCATATCCGACGCCAGAGTTCTAGATGCTCTTTTTTAAGGCTATGGCTCAAACTTATATCGCTACCCAACTGTACTTTGTCCTCTACTGTACGACATGTGGTAGGCATTTATCAGTGAAAACACCTGTTGCGTTGCTAGATTTGGATACTATGATCATGAGGCATGAGAGACTGCAGTTCCCAAGATGGTACACCTCCGGCGTCATAGACGTCCGCAACTTGTCAACGAGTACCTTGTTCGTAAATTTGCTTGCTCTGGTTCACAAATTGGACCGTCGGAGTCCAGGGATTTGGTGAGGTATGTAATCTTCGAGTCATCCTCATTCCTGAAAGTTAAAGTTTCCTGTGTATACCTCTCACCACAGGCACGTGTTATTATCCATCAATCAGCGCGGCAGAGATTCGCTTTCGTGCTCAGCAGATAGGTGATACAGTGGAGAGAGCTTATGGCGGACTTGTGTTTAAACCCTGGTAGTCCTTGTGAGATTTTAAGATTGTTGATATTCGACCTGGGCTCGGGAGTGTACGTGCTCTGAGCTTGATGGAAGAATTTGAACTAGGTGTCTTTCGCCTGCATCAGTTTTCGGTTCTCGGAAAGACGGGATATTCCCTGATGCATCATCACTCTGATTCGTATAATGGTTGGTGTACAAGGGCTTGCGCCATTGACACGAAGACGTGGAAGATCAACCGTAGTACATAATCCAAGTTGTCACATTTCATTTTTCTGTTATTAACCTCGCTTGTTGGGAGTAATGTAATACATGATTATCGGTTAACAACTATGGCTGAGAGTTGCTGTCCCATTTGATTCTAGTTCAAACTAATGCAATCTTCGGCTGTTGAATTCAATACGTAGAGCTTTACTTGTTTGGACCGTATTCTATGCCACAGTGCGGTATGAATCGCTCGAGCTTCCGATCCACAACGACGGGAAATAGGTTTTCTGTTCGGAGTCAACAGATGATTATTGATGATTCATTACTATCAGTCCGAGATTGCCTCTTTTACTTCGGAATGTGCATAGTCAGACATTTTCGCCGTGTGATCTCACCTCAAACCCATTGAGACGCAAATATGTAACAGTATAGATCACTACGAGGTCGGAGCCATGATTCATATCAATCAAAGAGTAGAAACGGCTGACACTATGGGATCAAGAGGAAGGCAGAAACTGTTCGGGGTTTCCCGAATCAACAATCCTCAGCGCTTAATTTCCCGATATACTTTCCTCTTATCACATCCCACCTTGTCTTCTGCAGCTCACGTTCGGAAATGTGCTGTACCACGCAATGGTCCTCCTTAACGAGTCTCTACACCAGTTCGAGAGGAATAAAACAAGTAAAATAGGGAAACACGAGGCATATACATGATCCTGACTCAAATTGTAAAAGAAAACGTGAAGTCGTAAATTGCGTGTAGTTAACCGTAAACCATTGCGGATGTATCATATCCATTACCGAGCCATATCCGACCATTTACTTCCTACGATGAGATGAAGACGAAGACCCAGCTAGTGCCCTATCATTTTGATCAGATCACCGAACCGACGTATCGATATAGTAAATGATGCTTACCGTCTCGCAGCAGCCTCATCTTGCTCCTCTTTTACTCGACGAGTGCGGCTACTCGGAGTTCGTGGCGCACTAGACTGTTGTTGAACACCTGGATAAGGTGCGTGCTGCTGTTGCTGTGGCGGGTAATAAGCCTCCTGCTTAACGTTTGGGTATGGATTTGCAGGTGGTTGTTGAGGGTACGGCTGCTGAGGCACACTACTCTCCTGCTGAAGCCTTCGATTAGCCTCTTTCAACCGATCCTCAGCCACAGCAGAGTTGTACTGGTGCATGGCTACACCCAACTCGGGACATGCGGGGCCTTGGCTTGCGCGTGGGTCGGTGTACCTACAAAGAAGGACATCAGCAATCAAATTTCAAGAGATCAAGGATATTCAAGAGAGCATACCCGCGTGAAGCGATAACCTGAGCCTGCTTGAGACGGTCTTCGGCGACGGCGGCGTTCCAGTGGTTCATCGCGACGTTCAACTCGGGGCATGTGTTTCCTCGGATGATGCGTGGATCGGGAGTTCTGGCATGGGAGTTAGTAAAAGAGAGGTTGTATGGTAAGGAAGAATACGTACACCTCAGGACGATGAGGATACCCGGTTTGCCTGTCGTTGAGCTGAGCAGCGCGGAGGTGCTCGTCTTGAGCAGGTCTGTGGGTGTGATTGGCGTACCTGAAATGAGAGGATAGTTAGGAACAAAGGTAGTACATGTAAGCGTGAAGCGTACCCATCAGGGCGGAAGTAGCCGTTGTTTCCGTTGTTGTTGTTGTTGGAGTTCATGTTGATGTTGAAGTTGAGTGTGTTTAGAAGTTGAGAATGACGCGGAAATTGAGATAAGAAGCTGAGAGTTGGAAATGCTGAGGTGAGTGAGTACTTCTCAGTGCTCAGAAGCAAGGGTTTATATCCTGTACTGTTTCCTGTGGCATTTCCAAGCCGTAACGCAAAGCATTTGCCACCATACAAGCCTTCCGTGGCATCCACGACAAGAGCCATGGATACGAGCTAGGACGGCCACGGTCAAAGCAGGTACTAGGTGGCACTAAATCAATGATTAACCTCCAACTCGTAAACTCAGATATATAGGAGGTGAATACGAGCGTGTTTTTGTCAGTACTTGTGATAGCTTCATCCCAATAGCCTCATATCGTTCAACGGTAGACTCGACTGAGCCCTCCAGCTTTGTAGATCGACATCGCCAGGTCCGAAAATGGCTGAGATGGGCCAGAATGACGTCGTTGGTCAAAGCAGGATGCGACAAAATGTGTTGTGAAGTAGAGCCACCTCCGACATACCCAAACCTCCGAGATGACCAGAACAAGAACCAAAATAGCTCCGATAAGATCGGTGTCGCTTGGTCCAATAACTCTCCCCGTGGTCTAGGAGGTGGCCATGATGATGCACTATCAAGTCACATCAACTGATCATTAATATTTCCCCAACACGAGGCTTATCACTTTGCCACCAGTGGTAAACCTTGCTCCTATGGACACTCCCAGGTCGATTATGTTTCGGTGTGTTAAAGAGCCGTCACGGTCAATATGCCAAACCGACTTTTATTCTCGTTATCTCCCCATCCCTTGTGTGTAAATCAACCTTTCAACAGGCAATGACGACGTACATCTCTAGACGTTGAGTATTGACCGCAGGAAGGACTTTATCGGGAAGCATCGCATACGGTGGACTGAGGGTAAAAGTAGTCTTTGTGAACAGAGCTTGACATGATTAAACACCTCAAACATCCCAGTACAGGGGTGTTCGCTAGTATCAATCGGATGGCCGAGATACAGTTTCGCCAGAGATGGAACTGATTTGTCTCAGTATGAAAATGATACTAACAGAGATTTTAAGTCGGAATTTGATTGTCACAAGCCAAAACATTTCAAACAAGATGTCTTAGTAGCCCACCGCGAGGGTCGAACTCGCAGCCTTCAGATCCTCTTAGAAATCCTCCAATGGATTATAAAAGTGTGACGCTCTATCCGATTGAGCTAGGCGGGCATGATGCTGATCGAACTCGCAGTCTTCAGGATATAACTTAGTGTCGTTCTATCCGATTGAGCTAGGCAGGCATATCGTTCTGGGATTGATGCTGTAACATAGCCGACACGTGGTTGAGCGAGGCACGTTGATGACGCAAGCACTAGTTTTTTTTTTTTTCGACCGCAACGTCCATCATCGCTCTTGCCCTTCCATTCAACAGAGTCTTAGGGTGAGTTTTTATCTTCGTCGTTCTGTTCATCTTATCAATAATCGTCTAGTCTTCGGACAGAAAGCCTGTATCTCGTTAATGGCTCCCAGCGAGGCGCACACTCTTCTTCGATTTCACTCTTCGAGTCCTACATTAGCTAACTACGGGGCCAACCATCCATCTCAAGCAGACTCTCTGATGTCGCATATTTGACGTCGTTCCCGAAACCCAGGTTCGAATCCTGGTAGCACCTATGTAGGGCAATGAATCTTCGTTTTACAATCGGTGGCCGCATGGCATTCCTCGATTCACGGCACCGGCTTTAATCCCCGATGCTATCGGTGATCTGGGTAGCGATTCGTTTGTCGATGCACGTGTTCTTCGGGAGAATAGGTGCTCTGGTGTATCGCGTTCTTCCCGATTCCTGAAGAACTTGGGAGTATGTACCTCTGATTAACAACGATTGCATGACGAAAATGCTATGGTGCCGCCATAGCACTCGAGGATGATGATACATTTGGAATCCCTGTGGCATCCTTCTGATCGAATCGAGTATGTAGTACGTTTTTTTGGGCTCGTTCAGGTCATGTATTGTGTGTTGACAAACCTCTCCATGTCTCAGCCTTTGAATCTCACAATGCAGGGGCTGATCAAGAGATGAAGAGAAAGATCTTCGTCGAAGGAACTATGTGGTGATGATTCCGATTCCTTCAATGTCAATGATCAGCCCATCGAGACGGGATAGAATGGACTATACATATAAAATCAGATCCTGGGATTCTAATTTGTCGCCACCACCGTGATGCACGTGGTTGATCTGGATGACGCAAGCGCTAGGTTGCTGATTTTGAACCGCAGCATCCATCGTCGTTCACTCTTCCTTGTTATCACATCGGAAAGAACCTTGACACAACTCTTCGAGTTCCACATCACTCTTCGTACAAGCTCCATACACAGACCAGGCTACATGTCGTAGATCGTGTCAAGGGGAGGACTGTATTCCTCAGTGAGTGTTGACTCGCTTCCTTTGGACTTTCCTGAACTTCTACGAAGGAGCTCAGGCACAATATTGGGATACAGTATGTTCCTATCAATGTCTTACTTGCCAAAACCGGCGCTTCCCATGTTCCTATTCAGCAGTAACCACATCGATTATTAGAATTATTGGTCCCGCGGACGATAACGCACATCCGTTTATCGTACAGGTAATGCTCGTTCAAGATCAGCTGCTTTATTGCTAGAGATATGCTAAGATCCGAGCTTACATGGATTGGAATGTAACTACAGCATCTGTCCTACCCTGTCCGTGTTCCATCCTAATCTCAGCTATATTTTACACCGGCGTTCGTGAATAGGCGCTATGGTGTGCTGGTCATGACTCGAAAATCTCTTCCTGAAACCCCGAGTCGAGCTTGGTGACACCTTTAGCTGCGGTACGTCTTTCATTTACAGACAGAAAGTTACCTGTTTATATCAATAGCTCAGAGTTCTGGTACGAGGAGAGTTTATCGGATCTTTTGGGGTGTGATTCGTACCTATCTGTCGCGCAAAGGATTGTGTGCCGAATCGATACCTGGTATTCCAAAGTTTGTATTCTGGATGGCAATTCTGATTGACTACAGCTTTGATTTCGAGCAGGCGTGTGATCCGAGTCACATGGATTTGTCAAAGCAAAGTTTTGTGCATAGTGTTTTCTTTCTTTTATTCCCTCTCTTCCTGGCGGCTACAAATTTCCTATTTTCGGAGGCCTTTTTGAGCGCGGAACTAGGAACAAAAAACACCTGATGGCACACTCTCGTCATCAATCGCGGCTTTGACAGGAAATTTATCCTCAGGAACGTGTGATCTCTGATCTCAGTTGCCAGCGAGCGGATTTCCGACTATATACATTACCTAGCTGGCTTGTTAAGTTCCATGCCTAGACCCTACATCCCGTCACCTCTAGAGGTAAAGCTTCCGCCCACTCTTGCTTATATTTGCCATTAACTAATCGAATCGCAATACGGTGAAGGGAATTATTATTTAGTTTATTGATATCGATTGTAGTACAAATGGATCGTTCGTGCTGTTTTCCTTGTTCAGCACATCCTGTTGCAAGAGTGATGATGTCCATATGGAGTACTCTATGAATACTGGCAAAAACATGGCCGGTTCCGATTAACTCTACCCCATCAAGGATGAAAAGGAGTTTTGCCCGCTTTGAAGGCCCTGGGTACTTCAGAGGTAGAGTTACACCGTTGTTTGAGGCACGGAGGAACGGAGAAAGGATCGCTGGTTCCTGGACACAGCTTCGAATCGATCACATCGTAATCATCTTTCGACCCTTCATCAAGAAGGTGAATAGGTTGCTTGTGGGGTGCTTTTGACATCAAATAATCCATCAATACACACACAAGGCGCTTCACGACTATGATAGTCTGGGGATCAGATTATGGTCAGTCACTGTACGCTTAGCGTCCGTTTCCGGTGGTTGAAGTCCGACTATATATTCGACTATGCGGCAGAAGGCTGTGTACATGGGAAGGACGAGACTCACAAGCTGAGCTAGTAATCATCGTTCGTCACAGCATTTTCGGTAGGTACAGGTGCATCCCGGTGGTCGATGGCGCAGGAGTCTCAGTGGTTCCAGGTAAACATTAACTATAATCTGAAAAGACTGTCATAATGTGGCGTTTTTTCAACGGTGCCATTGATGTCGAATCTCGACACTGGTGAGGTTCGAAGAAGGTCGTATGTATGGAGTTCATTGTCAAATTTCAGGCTTACCATGGTAATGTGAATGTTTCGGCGTTTAACAGACTCAAAAGGAGGTGAGATTGACCAAACGTTGATACAAACGATTTTAATAACTAGTTACCTATCCATAGTAACACAACCATGGCAGCGACCTCAGATCAAAAGCTCCTCTGCAATTCGTACTCGCCCTCACCTCTGAACGTTCTCCCCGGGACACTCGTCGAGTGTTTCTATTGGCGATGCACGAGCTACCCGTGTCGTCCCTTGTGTGTGCGCTGTCTCAGTAGAGCGAATTGGAAACATTTCATAATCTGGGTTGTTCAGTGTAACGCCCAAGGTGACGCGAACAATGATGATAGATGTTGTAATTCCCTGGCAGACGGTTCAATATATGCAACACCTGAAGACCAATGACTCACTGCAATGGCGGGCCATGAACGAACTAAGCACGAACGTACTGAAGTCCAGAATAATGCTGTATTTTCCGACATTGCGGATTCTCTTGGGATCAGATATAGCTGAAGGGTTGCAGTGGTAATAAGGAACGCAGAGTAGAATATTCCGGATTCCAGCCTGCGTTGAGGTCACTATATGATAACAGCAACATATTGATGACTCACGTTGCCGCGATAATGCAGGTGTACATATCTAACAACTTGCGTTCCAGGTATTGTCTGACTTGCTGACGAACGGAGAGTATTTGGAACGCTAATAGATAGCATGAGTTATAGAACCATATGGAATTCGTTTGAGGAACGCGCCTATGAGCCCAGAAAGGAGCAAGTCGTTTATTGAGATTACCATCAAAATTGGAGGGGTGACAGCTTCGAAGCGGAAATACAATCCAGAAAGGATGCCGAACGCCACAACTACGCCCAATATTGGGAGTAAGTTTATACAGATATACAGTGACTCACTATGGACAATAAGGGATATTGCTAGGAGTACCAAAACAACCTTCCATCGTCTCCCCCAAACGACGAAGCTACGCCATACCTATTAGCGAAGGTGAGAAAACGTCAGTCAAGGTTAATTAACCTTACCAAAATAGCGTCTGCTATCGCGCTGTCTAGAAGTCTTAGTCATGGTAAGATCACCGCCGTTGCATGCGGTACAGACCTACATGCAATCAAGATTTCGTTGCCGGTTATCAGCATGTTGTTGTACAAGACATTCAGTTCGCCGTCCGAGAGTCGAGAACAACTAAGGAATGTCAAGTCAGTAAAGCAGGTTCATGATTATGGCCTACTAACCCTTCACACACAACAAGGATATCATGTACCATCCCAAGTGCAAGGTAAACCGATGTAAGAAGAAAGAGGATGATATTCGCAAGGAGGTTATATTTATATGCTTCCCGTTGTCGTTTGCGCAAGATGTACACGCAGATACCAAATAGTACAATATATGCACCTTTGGGGATACTGAGGGTAGGAAGTCAACAAGGTGAGCACTGGAACGTACCGTACAGTAGAAAATTCCACTATAATATTGATGAGCGTTCGAGCTGAATGTGCTCAGGGAAGCGATACATACTGCAGTAACGGCAAGGTACAAAGCTTCAGTGTATGGCATGTCTGGGAGATCCAACGTGGTAGGCGTATGCGAACGGTAGGCACGAAAGTTCAATGAAGGTATAAGTAGCCATGATAGAACTAGGTTTGATGGAAGTACATCCATCTGTTCGGGATAACGCAATGATTCAAGACAAGTACACCAAGCGCTGATGACCGAGGCGGGACCGAAAGCTGAGAGCGGGAGTCCGTCTCGGTATAAAAGATTTACCAGAACAGGAGACGGCCTCATTCATGCTCAAGACTGTCAACGAAACTTTCGGACAAAGCAATGCCGAATATTTGACCGATACGCCAAGCAAAGTATGACTGTTCATCGCATGCGCATTTCCAGCGCGATTGATGATCTCTTTGGATTACAGCCTTCGAGAAGTGGAAAGAGGTTCCACTAGCGGTCCCATGACGAGACCTAACGCCAAGCACATTTCACCACTACATGCGTTTGTACATGGCGAATAGCCGAGTAAACCTAAATGGATGCAGTATAAAGGCTCACGGGATGTGATGATAATCTGAGCCAAGCTCAACTTCAAAAGAAGCCAGAATCGACGTACCTGAGCCACTAAGTACCCCGAAATATGCATCCAACCGAAAGTGTTCCTTAGGCATGATCGTGCCGTGACATAGATCCTGTAACCTCTCAAGGTGGACTGAACTCGGTGGGATACAAAAGACATTTCCCAGTTGAAGATGGCGATCAAGAACAGAGAGTTGCTACGTAGTTACGAAGTCGGAGTTCATCTACAGAAAGCGATTTTTCGTGGGTGTGACGCACAGTTGGATTCAGGCACGCACCACAATAATGACGCAAGCGCCCAGGTACCATCGCACGCATAACAGCGTAAAGAGCCAGAGGTTATGCTACCATACGCAATGGGTCAAAAATGGTGGAATTAATGTTCACAGTGTTAATCAGACGGACGTCCACACTAGGTGTTATTGCAATGCTCTGCGTTAGCAACCATTGATCGGTACGGGATTTGGTACGATGTATGACATTTGTCTGCACCGGCGTTTTTTGAATGCCATCGAAGCCCCAGTAGCTACGTATGCCATCTATTTCCGACATTCTCGAGCTCCGATTATAATGAAGACATGGAGCTGCGATCCGTCAAAGAGTAAAGACCTCATTGATTGATGATGTCATTACAAGTCTATTGATATAAATAAGTGGGAAGGAATTCTGCACGACCGACACCATTCAACTCTCAGATTCTCGAGTTTTCGGAATATCCACTGGTGTTGTCACTCTCCACTGCTTGGTTGCCTTTGAAACGCAACGTCCATCCGATTCCAGGTTTCGGGTTTGAGCTTTGTAGGTGTACAAGATGTTGATTGGTACGCCGTTTTCGTACATATTATCAAAGTTGGTGTTTCAATCATGAGCAGCTTTTGAATTGTTCACGAGGGTACATAGCTAAACCCCAATAGCTGTATCACCCTCATTCGGAGTGTTAACATTTCCTGTTGGAGTGGGCCAGGAGGGGCTGAGGAAGCCCTAGCTGCTGCTAACGCGGTGGATGCGATTGGGGAAAGTAGCTACGACAGGAATGACTACATCGAGAGCGCTCACGTGACCGCTAGACCGGCTCGGACTATGCCGGTAGCCCCTACTACACTGTGTACACGGTCATGGCGTTGTTCTCTAGACCAAGCATATCGATCAACACATGTGTTATCACCATCAATCTCAGCCGGAGATCCGCCTTCATACACTAGTAGATAGGTGATACAGTGGGAAGCTTATTTTCTTTCAAGATTCTGGCTGACTTAGGTTCAAACCCTGGTAGTTCTTGTGAAATTAGGGTTGTTGATACTCTTCGGGCTTTCCGCTGAGCTTTGGAATGCGCGTACTCTGAGCTTGAAGGTGTAGAGGAAGTCGAACTAGGTATCTCATATCAAGATGTTGTTAGGGTGGTCGATGATCAACTAGGGTGCAACTGCCTCAGTTGTTCCCTGATTCATCCTTACTCTGACTCGTAAATTGGTTGGTGGTATAGCGGTTTGCGCCGTTGAAATGAAGCTATAGAGAGTTGACTGTGTGGTATGTAAGAGTCGTCATGTCATTTAATACTGTTGGGCGTCAATACAGGATAATTGTGATCAACTATAGCTCTTTTCTTACGAGTTGGAGCTACCACAATCTTAGCTGTCGAACTCACAACCTAGAGCGTTACTTGGGCTGGTATGTATTCGGCGAGTCGTGCATTCAGAATTCTCATCCCATTTGTCCGCTCACGGCGAGCTTTGCGTAGCTCTAGCTAAGTAGTAATGATCATTTCCGGAACAGGGCGCATCCGACATGGAAGGCTTCACGGGGTTGATTATGTTTGATTCTGTTTATGAACAGGTTGTGGATCTATGGAGCTGTGCACATTCCCCGCCCTTTCAAGGTTCTCGCTCCCAGATTGATGCTTCCTTTCGATGAATGGGCGTGATGAAGAGATACTTATCTTTGATCTTTTGTCACGAGTTGCCATCAATCCCTGATGCTGCAGCGTCCTGAATCTCTTCTTCATCTTCGTCATTGTACCTGCTCCAAGTCATATATTTGTTGGTGGTACGACATCGTGGGCCGTTGGAATCAAGACGTAGGGCGTCCATTGTGAAGTATGTAGTAGTCGTCGTGACACTTCAATGGGCATTAGCGCAATAAACTACCTTCATTTCTTGGTCCTTTTATCGTTGGTATCTAACAGTGTAGCGGTTATCACTCGGGATTCTGATTTTGTGTTACAAAGTCGTTGCCACTTGTTTCCCGAAACCCAGGTTCGAATCCTGGTAGCACCTCTCCGACATCGAGTTGAAAGATTTTTTGGTGTTGTCTATTCTTTCGTAGATATCTAACAAGGCGTCCTTTTGGAATCATTTCCGACGTTTACTCTGCGTTATGGTTCTCTTTCACCTGGAATCAGACGGGCAGGTTTGGGTATGCTTATTCTCGCATTGACCTTTCCGTTTGCTAGATTTCTAGATTACAAGAACATCGGGTTATTATGTAGTATTAGCTTCGTCCACAACTTTTTTGTGGTCAGGACTGGGATACGCCTTCGTAAAACTAATCTATCATGGGTGTTATAGTATTCTGAGTTCGGAACATGGTACGAATGAACGCTCCAGGGTCAAACCCTGCAATGATGTACTCTTGCACTCCTAGTGACCGAGCTGAAGGCGTCGAGGAGATTCAGAGAGGACTGTGTGTGCGCTTCAGAAAGTTGTGGGGACGGTCACACCCGTCATGAAGTTGATGAACATTTGGACCTCTCAACCCGTGTGTATCATCTCCGCCTATCGTAGGTGTTATAGTGGAGAGGTTATCCCGTCAAGATCACCTTTCCGAATCCCAGGTTCGAACCCTGATAGCACCCGTAAAAGTCTTTCTGTCAGAGTCGTTTTTGCAACTTTTTTGACTTCATTTTCGACGGCTATTGGATTGTGAAGAGCCGTCTCGCGTTACACGGTGGATAGGACCCTGTAGCGTCAAGTCTTGATATAAGACGGGTAAGTCGTATCTGGTTGATAGCCTTAGGGCGAGTGATTGTACCATCTCGGCATTGAATATGCCAGTTCCACGACCATAGCGATCAAAGCGTCATAGTGCGATAGGAATCGCTCCGAGTAGGACAGAGAACGCAAACGGTTTCTCTTGTCTCGGGATGGAGTAAGGAAAAGCTAGAGTTGGTTTAGTTTCAATGAAAGGGGACGGAAAATACGTGCGAATCCTTGTTCTCGACGTATACGTGTTTGGATAGTCATTCCACAGGCATTGATGTAACTGTATCGTATATCCCGCGTTGAAGTCGTATCTGATATGGTAACTGGTCGTTACGATCCTGGTATCTGAAGATCTGATTGACGATTTTTATTTAGCCCTGCGCGATACAACAGGTGTCTCGATGCAAGCATGATCGATGGAGCTGTCTACTGAGGGTTTTTGAGTCACTTGCAATTGGATGGGGTGCGCACCTTGAAGGGAATCCCAGCGCCAGCTATGGAACATCATAACGTTCCAGTTCATCACACACCGATATCCATACCATCAGCTGACTGAGGTTTGTCTGCCTTGAATACACCCCCCTTCCTCAAAATGCTGATTGAACGGCATGCGCACCTTAAGGAATCCCGACGGAACCATTGCTCAGGACCTGGTGTATCATTGAAAATATGCTGATAGTGGCCCGGGCAACAGCAACAAGGCTAGGTTTGCACGTCTCAAAAGCACATGACCTTGAGACCACACATTTGATTCAGTAGGCAGACTCGGATACCGCTTCCTCTGCCTGAACGTGAATCGCTTTGTATCTGAGGAGGGCAGATACTGTCGGCATGAAGGCACAAATTACCATGACAACAGCAGCATGCTTTCTGATCTTGAACCTCCATGATCCCATAGCTTCAGTGCACTAACCACCGAAACAGCTGATCTGACTCTGAGCAGGGATACTGCATCGCAGAAGCATCACATCGTGATTGTATTGTACTGCATTTGTCACACTTGAACTGGCCAACGCCGATGTATTCTATAGGTGGATGCAATGTCCGATGAAAGATCCCGACTCGAAATGAAATGAAATACCAGATAAGTCCAGTGTTTGACTGATCGTCACTCAGGTGGCATGTCTCAATAGCCTGCATCTGCCGTGGAAACGCGATTACGGCTGTTTAATTCTTGAGCCAGTGTATAAAACTGCAGCTGATCTAGTCTCTCCATAGTCCCCGCATATGGTTTCAATCGACATGGAAAATTTCAGGTGGGCGAAGGAAGATACACTTACCAATGAGGTATGCATAGATATGGAGCGACCGATCACAGTTCTGACTCATCGCGCAGGTAGTTTCCATTGTATATGGTGAGTACAAACCTGCAATTTAGATATGACTCACTCCTTGAAGGCATTTACATTGTGGTATTCGGAATTTGCACCCACATTCTGTGGAAGAACAAAACCTCACAGAAATACAACCTATTGGCCAATATTTCCATTTTCATCCTTGCAACAATAAATCTTCTTGTCTACACCTCGATCGAAATCAGTGAAATATGTTTGCGGACAAAACACTCAGCTCCATTTAGTGAATGCTATATCTCAGAGCTACCACTCATCGTTCTAGCTCCTTATCTGGGAATTGCATGTAGGCAAGTACCTCTGATTATCGATGATCACCGCCCTAATCAGCACACTCTATGTTTCAGCTTAATAGCCGACATTATCCTGGTAACTAATAGGCCCACTCCATACGGGATGTTGGCTAACACATCGCCAGATTTCGCGATGCTATGTAGTTTGGGGGAGGAAGTGGAGAGTTATCATTCTCCCTATTCTGCTGACTGGTTTTCACAGCACGTCATTTAGTTCTATCGTTATTTATTTAACTCATCACTCACACAGTTCCTGCATACTTTGCCGGAAGTTATATTCTTACTATCGGGGCAGTGGGGATTGCAACAAACAACTTGCTCCTCTCTTTGCTTATTGGTGATGCACTATCGTATCCCCTCTTTTGCTCTCGCTCATTAAAGCCCATCAGCATTCAAAATCTTTTCGATATCTCGCGAGGTTTCCCGATACGTAGGCAAAAAATCACGGAGTATGCAGAGAATTGTACTTGGTGCAACGTGAGCATTACATTGACCATCAAGCGTTCCTCAATAATCCAATAGACCAATAGACTCGAGTCTGGGATCGTTTATTCCGCATCTCTCATCACGTTTGCTGTCGCGACCTATAACTTGAATGATTCCAATTTGAGTTGGCTCGTTTCGGAAACTTTTCGTAAAGCGTGGCCTTACTGTGCTGTAAGTCCTCATGCACTATTCATTATCTAAGGATGACGAATAATGTCTTTAGGGTATTACTGCGTCTATTGTTATTGTTCGTGTCAGCCTCGGTACTGCCTTCAATGACTTGAGAACCGAACTGGCAACAGTCGGGGCGCTGGAAGTGGATCGTTCAACCAATCCAATGCAAAACCAAGCAGCTGGTCGTAGTCCAACAGTGGAAGAACGCAATGAAGTTATTGTCATTGGACGTGATATCGAGTCTGGGCAGTTACGATCATCGCAATGGTACAGTACTACAACTGTACTTTGTATCTAGTCGATAGAAGTGAAGAGTATGGCTGGGATAGGGTTGTCCTTCTGCGAAAGTACGGCGCCAACTTGAGGTTATAGTGCGGTATGAATTATAGTCGGTGGAGTGGGCCAGGAGGGGCTGAGGAAGCCCTAGCTGCTGCTAACGCAGTGGATGCGATTGGGAAAAGTAGCTACGACAGGAATGACTACATAGATAATGCTCACGTGACCGCTAGTCCGGCTCGGACTATGCCGGTAGCCCCTACTACATCGGACATTTTTGGCGCGTACCTTACTGCTCGTTCCGAAATGGGACCAAGGCAGTTAGTATCAAGTATCAAACCCATTGGGATGTGGACATGCTATAAATCACTTCGATCTCAAGAAAGACGTAATTCATATCAGCCACGGGTTTCAGAAGAGTGAAAACGGTTGTAAGGCAGACATGATGGGTGCCAGCAAGGCATGATGATCAGCACCAAAGTGATCGGAGTTACCCAAATCAAACGTTTTCACAATGCGCTCAAGCGCGTAATATACCACGTTCAATAAGATTGAGTATTGGAATCTACGCTGATTTTGGTCGATCAATAATTCACGCTCGAGAGCCCGAGGATCCAGCTTGATATACAGTGACGCAGGGCCAGCAAAGTCTCGACGACCATGGCGTAGCATCTGCTCGTGTCGGTATGCCGAGTACAAAGTGCAATACAAACAATCTGTGGTATTCTTTCCGTTGATGCTGTTTTGGAGAGTTGTGTGATAGCCGTGGAATCGTACAGAGCGCTTTTAGATGAGTGCTCTTGGATTGTACCACTCAAAGATAGGAATACTGGGGATAGGATGGAGATTTGCATCACGGGCACTCTTCATCACTATCTTGTGATCCAACCTCTTCTCGGTCATTGGTCCTGAAACACGTGTGCTGTGAACGATTAGGATTGAAAGTTATGGAAGAGTATCTGGGGTGCAAAGCTGAGATTTTGAAACACTCGGCTAAACCAAGAATCTCGCCAGCGCACGTAGGAGATGTAGTGTCAAATGTTGTCTGTACGGTGATGGTCAGTACGAGTATCATTCTGTATTCGAAAGAGATGCCGGGTGAAGTGATGGTTCCAACATCACAGTGTCCAACACTTAGCTCATATCGCCCTTCGCAAATCAAGGAGAGTAACGCACGAGAACGGATAGTCAGTGGTGTGCGGACCTTCGTTGCTCCTGGAAGTTGCAAATCAAAGGCAGATTCACATGACGTCCGTCTCCGAGGAACAACATCTCTTTATCTTATGCTGAAGTCGTTTAGTAAATGAGAAATAGAATCGCGGATGGGATCACTCACCGAGTAGCACCGCGTGAACCAAGCCGGTGAGGATATGAATCATTCGAGGTCGATGATTACGCGTACGGCTGTGGAGATCATGATGACATTGGCCTGGTGACATGGCGAGAAGCTCGACTCAAATGAGGCAGGGGTATTCACTTCTTCACGCTGTCTCGGCTATAATAGTGGTGTAGCTTCAAACTCCTGAGAAGGATCGTCGATCATAACAACGGAGAATGAATGGCTCGTGTCCAAGCGCCAGCTTAGATGAGGTGGTTCGGTCTGATCACGAGGTGGACCAATGTTCTTGGAAACGGTTGAGGTCATCGAAGCTACTCGGACACTGAAAGACTTGAAGACGCGTCTTAAGTGCCGCGACTACCCGGCCAGATATAA